TTCCACTCTTACTGGGGAACAACGCCAGTGAGCCCTAAGCCCCCCAGGCATTAACTTCTTACACTGACTTCAGCTACCCCATTCGTCTCAGATGGGGAGACTGGAGCACTCGCCAGGGTCCCACAGCTGCTCGGGGTCTTGCCCCTCACCAGGTGTACTGCTCTCAGAGAAGATGCAAGGGCCCTGTGGTCCACCCTCTGCTCCCGCTGCCCCACTCTCAGGGAGCCCTGCGGAGGCCCTGCAGGATCACACCCCCCAGGCCTCAAACCCTCCTCCATTCATGTGAGCCGTGGCCCCCAAGCCCTTCTTCTCTTCTGTAAGATGGGACAGCTCCTCCCTGGGGGCAGTCATGACAGGGGTCGCTCTGTAACCAGCCTAGGGGTTCGGGGTGAGTCCCTGGCCCCAGCTCACCTAACGTCAAATGGGCTGAGGTTTCAGTCACCCAGCAGGTAGGTCTGGTCAGGCCTCGTAGGGCCGGGATCGGGCCTGCCCCACCCCACGTGGAGGTCCTGGTCCAGGCCCTGAGTCCCCCAGGCAGAGGGAGGCAGAGGGTAGGGAGTAAAGCGGTGCCTGGAGAAGGGTGGCTATGTCCCCAGGAGGGAAGGCGGGCAGGGCCCGCACAGGGACTGGGAGCTAGGGGCAGGGGGTCAGCAGGCAGCCAGCAGCAGGGAGGAGGCAGCCTCAGGGACACAGCGCCAGGCTGTCAGGCGACACAGGGCACTAACCATGAGCTGCTGGTCCTTGGGTTCCATCTCCTTCATGGTGGGGCTGCCCCGGGCTGGGGAGGGGCCGGCAGTGGGGCAGGAGGGCAGGCAGCCAGCCGGTTACAGCTCCTTGCTCGCTGCCATCTGGGCTACGAGACTGCCCCGCCCTGGTGACATCAGCGGCCCCAGGAGCCCGGCTGGTCCTCAGCTGTCTTGGAGCTGCCAAGGATGCCCACGTGCTTCCGACGGGCCCCGAGCAGATAGGTGGGCACAGGCTGGCTGCACACGGGGAACATGGTTACAGCTCCAGACAAGGTCCAGCCTTTTTGTCTATGCGCTAATCTGACGCCATGGCAACCCAGGGCTCCTCTGCCACCACCTCCCTGCTCTACAGGTGAGCCTGCCTGAGATCACCAGCCGTGGGCTTGGAGCTTTTCCACAAAAAGGGGCCAAATGCCACCAGCTGACATTTAATGAAATACTTTCAGGTGTGAACACTTTTCCCAANCTCCCTGGGGGCAGTCATGACAGGGGTCGCTCTGTAACCAGCCTAGGGGTTCGGGGTGAGTCCCTGGCCCCAGCTCACCTAACGTCAAATGGGCTGAGGTTTCAGTCACCCAGCAGGTAGGTCTGGTCAGGCCTCGTAGGGCCGGGATCGGGCCTGCCCCACCCCACGTGGAGGTCCTGGTCCAGGCCCTGAGTCCCCCAGGCAGAGGGAGGCAGAGGGTAGGGAGTAAAGCGGTGCCTGGAGAAGGGTGGCTATGTCCCCAGGAGGGAAGGCGGGCAGGGCCCGCACAGGGACTGGGAGCTAGGGGCAGGGGGTCAGCAGGCAGCCAGCAGCAGGGAGGAGGCAGCCTCAGGGACACAGCGCCAGGCTGTCAGGCGACACAGGGCACTAACCATGAGCTGCTGGTCCTTGGGTTCCATCTCCTTCATGGTGGGGCTGCCCCGGGCTGGGGAGGGGCCGGCAGTGGGGCAGGAGGGCAGGCAGCCAGCCGGTTACAGCTCCTTGCTCGCTGCCATCTGGGCTACGAGACTGCCCCGCCCTGGTGACATCAGCGGCCCCAGGAGCCCGGCTGGTCCTCAGCTGTCTTGGAGCTGCCAAGGATGCCCACGTGCTTCCGACGGGCCCCGAGCAGATAGGTGGGCACAGGCTGGCTGCACACGGGGAACATGGTTACAGCTCCAGACAAGGTCCAGCCTTTTTGTCTATGCGCTAATCTGACGCCATGGCAACCCAGGGCTCCTCTGCCACCACCTCCCTGCTCTACAGGTGAGCCTGCCTGAGATCACCAGCCGTGGGCTTGGAGCTTTTCCACAAAAAGGGGCCAAATGCCACCAGCTGACATTTAATGAAATACTTTCAGGTGTGAACACTTTTCCCAAGGGAATTTTTTTTTTTTTTAAATATATCTTTATTGATTTCAGAGAGAGGAAAGGAGAGGGAAAGAAACATCAATGATGAGTCATTGATCGGCTGCCTCCTGCGCGCCCCCGACTGGGGATCGAGCCCGCAACCCGGGCATGTGCCCTGACCGGGGATCGAACCCTGATCGCCTGGATCCTAGGTCAACGCTCAACCGCTGAACCAAGCCTGGCTGGACCCCAAGGGAATTTTTTTAAATGTTTATTGATTTCACAGAGAGGGAGGGACAGGGACAGATAGAAACATCAATGAGTCATCAATTGGCTGCCTCCTGCTCGCCCCCTGCTGGGGAGCACGCCCACAGCTCGGGCCTGTGCCCTGACTGGGAATGGAATCGAGATCTCCAGGATCCCAGGTCAATGCTCAACCAGAGCCACGCCGGCCCGGCTCCCAGATGAATTTTAAAGCAAACTTGAAGTGATCTTTGGGCTTGATGACGAGGACTTGGTTCTTAGCCCCCAGCCCACCCGGTCTGCCAGGGCCTGAGTGTGCTGGTTAAACGCTGTGCTCAACTTTCCACAGCTGCCTCCAGGGACGCCCCTGCACCTAAGGTCAGGCCGCTGACTGCCGGGCAGACACAGCATCCCTGGCGACAGCCCGCGCTGGTGAGAACACAGCAATCACTCCCGCACCTGGTGTGATTCAGAGACCCTGTCCATGAAGTTCAGGTCAGAAATCCCAGGCACAGGGCCGCAGCGGTGGGCCCTCCAGCAAGGGTGGGTCTCAGGCCAAGACCACTCAAGGTCACGGTGGCGCTCCAGGTGGGCAGTCTGGCAGCAGAGACGACAGTGGTAGTTCCATGGTCCTGGGGAGTGATGTTGGGGAGGCCCACATCAGCGTCTAGGGCCTCCCCGCTGCATGACCAAGGGGAGGGAAGACAGCACCGTCCCTCTAGCACCCTCCTCCCCTGCTGCCAAAGCTCCAGCTCTGACCCACTAGCACCTTGCTAGAGAGCCCAGGTCCCTGGGTTCCCCTAACGTCTCTGCGGGCAGCCAGGGGCCTGCGCCCACCTCTCACCCCCGTGCCCACAGATGGGTGAGGAGCTCTCCACACAGGGCAGCCCCGGGAAACCCACTTCCACACAGAGGAGAGTTACAGCAAACAGTGTTTCATAAAGTCTTTTATTTACAAATTATGTAAAACAATTACAACTAGCAAGTTTAAAGTCGTGAAAAGATCATCTTTCGAAAGCTGTTAAATCTGCTAATGTGACAGAACCGTGTGCCTTTTCCTGTTCAATCTGTTAACATGACAGAACCATGTGCTGTTAAATGTTAACATGACAGAACCATGTGCCTTTTCCTGCTGTTAAATCTGCCAACATGACAGAACCATGTGCCTTTTCCTGTTCCCAGCATGAAGTCAGCAGCACCAGTCTCGGCACGGAGTCTGAACAGGAGAGAAACAGGAATGACACCTGCACCGACAGCCAAGGACCAGCGGCCAGTGCACAGGACACTTAAGGCTCCAAGGACAAATACAAACGTGTCCCTCAGGGACCCAGAGTTAGCTGGGCAGCCACGGGCTCCAGCAGTCACTGTGGAGCCCGAGGAGGTCGGCACGAACCTGCCGAGCGACGGGGGCAGGCGTCCCGCCTTCTGGCCCACACAGCTGATCCTCCAACCACAGAACGTCAGAGGCCCGTACACATCGCAGCCATCGTGAACTCCGAGGGCCCGTCCCTGCCTCACTGCTCAAAGACTGAGCTCCGGGCCCCGGGAGACAAGGCCGGTCGGTCAGAAGCTGCCACAGCCAATGAAAGTGGGCCGAACCACACGCTGTGCTCACTCCCTTCTCAGTGGGGAAGTTAAGTATTCAGAGGACCACAAAATAGCAGCTAAGGTGACAGCTCGACACAACTCCAAACCTGAAGGCCTCCCAGGGAGGGTCAGCGGGGTCTTCTGTCAGGTCAGGTGACAAGCACGGAAAACACCGGAACACACCGTTTCTGGACTGGACAGTGCGTTACTTCCCAGAGCTCGGCTGCACACAGGACAGAACCACAAGGGGGTGTCCCTGCTTGCCACGGCTGCCATGAGCACGTGACCGAGGGACCGAGCCCCGCAGTGGCCTTACTGCCGGGGGCAGGGAGAGGCACTAGATCAGTCGCTACCTACGTTTAAAGACGAGGAAAGACAGCTGGTTCGTACAGGTTTGCTTTATTTCCACGTTCAGCCCACTGAGACCTGCCACAACCTGAATGCGGGCCCATGGCTGAGGTGCCACGCAGGCGGGGACACAGGAGGCACACTGCTCCCCTGCAGTGTCCACGCCCACGGGACAGAGTCCCCGCAGGGAGGCCGAGGTGGAGTCTCAGTAACAAACACTGGTGGTGACGTAGAAACCAAACAGGAGAAGACTGAGAGCAGTGCCTTAAAACCGCCCACCGGACGCCAGGGGTGAAAGGCACAACTCTGGAGACGGGCATCCCAGGCGCAGTAGGTCGAGAGTAGGAAGCATAGGGAACTCAGAACCGCGCAGGCTGTCTGCAGGGATGACCCGGTTCCGGCACGAGGTGGCGCTGCAACGGGACACGGGCTTACTCTCTCTCTCACCACAAGCCCGTCAGGGGGCAGCATGGGACAGCCACAAACCACCCAGTCTCAGGTGGAGGCGCTGGAAGCTCCCTTCAGTCTGACGCCTGGGCCGTGAGCAGCAGCCTCAATGGTGGACCATTGCTGAGGATAACCAGTCGCTCGTCCTGCCCTGGGACAACACTGCCTGGACACCCAAAGGCTGCTCAGCCCCCTCCCTGCCAGCCCTCAGGTGCAAAACCTCTAGGTCCCTCTCCGTCACTAGGCAGTGTCTGAGGTCCTTGCCACACCACACCTGGCAGGACTCTGACCAGTAGTGGGTGCCGCTGCTGGGTTTGCATAGTACCCATCACAGCTCACAGGGAGGACTTTACCAACCTTGAGAACGTGAAACTGGACTTTCATGCGTCACCATAAACAAGACGTTTCCTAACCTGTGGGTCAACAACAGGAAGTTAGCTGCTCCTGTCACAAGTCTTACCACAGTGCTCTCGGTCACTCCTGACTTCCAAGAGGAAAAATTTCTTCTGTGACAAAAAACTCAATGGTCTCCTCCTCCCAGTCATCCACGTTGCTGTCCAGCTCGTCAGTGTCCACACCTAAAGAGGAAAAGGAGAGGCTACGGTGGGCGCAGACATGGAGGAGTGCAGGTGCCGCAGGCTTCAGCCTTGGGGACACGCAAGCACACACAGGAGGCATGCGGACCAGCAAGGCCCTGTGGAGGCTACTGGGTGGGAAGTCGTGTGGAACCGAGTCCTTGATGATGTGAGAGCCGTTACACACACCTGATGTTTACTGAGAAATCTGGGCAATTACAAACACAAGCTTTAAAAGTGTATCTCCGGCTCATAAAGTTACCTCCTCGCAATTCCAGACGTTCGTTTTTCTGCTCCATGTAGAGCTCCTGGGCCATCTTCCGGTACTTGCGGAAGTCCTCCATCATGGTGCGTCTCCTCTCCACCAGTTCCTAGGCACAGGGGGGGAGTCAGAGCTGACACATCAGAGGACACGAGAACACTTCCTTTAAAGGGAGCTGTCAGGATAGGAATGGTGGGGTGGGCTTGTTCTGTTTTCTTCCCCCAAATGCCTACACCTCCCAACTTGCATCTGGAGAGCCAGCTGCCAAGAGGGTCACAGGGCTCGGGCCCCGCCAGCCCACCCACAGGCAGTGGCACAGGAAGTGCCTTCAGTGGAGAAGTGACTGCTCCATGGACACCCCCTCCCTCCCCACAGCCAGATGCTGGCCCTGCTCTGCCACGAAGGGACGTGGCCACCTGTGGCATTTCCCAGCCTGAGGATCAAGGCTGACCTTCGAGGCTTTGGACTGGCTCAGACGATCCTTCTGTTCAAAGATCTTGGAGTATTTCTTCAGGTCTTTTCTAATTTGCTGCAACAAAGACAAATCACTCAGGATTTTACCACACAACCTTCCACGCTGCCCACATGAAATAACACCCTCAAGGACTGGCACATGGCCTCCCAGAGCACAGAGCACTCAACGTGGCAGGACATCTGCCCTAAGGTCTCTCAGCAGCGACACTGTTCTCCTTTCCCTCCTGTCCTCTCAGCTCTGCCCTAACACCCCTAACCCAGCATAGCTCCCCCTGCTCATGTAAACCCCACAGGCGGTTCTTCGAATCCCATGGGAAATTGTCACAGCCCCAGCCCAGCTCACGCACACGTCCCGGAGTGGTGCTCACAGGACCCGAGACAACCTGGACATCTGATGACTGTCCTAAAGCTGCTCTTTAAAACTTGGTTGTTACTGTTCAGGCACCTGTTCAAAGGGTCCTCCAGGTATCACCTTTCTACTCCCCGCTCATCACCCCCTGACGTCACCTTCACCTGTTGGGACCAACCTTGATCTGGTCCTGGCTCAGGAGTGTCGGGGGCCGTGGCCGCCACAGCAGCTGGCAGAAGCGGTCCTTGTTGTTTTTCTGCAGGAGGCGGCCCTGGAAGGTCCACAGCCAGTAGGCGTTGTCCACCTATAGGAGAGGAGGCCGGGCTCCAGCAGGCACCAGGGACTGGGATCTACAGTGTCAGCTGAGCACCATCTCACTGCACACCTGCTGCGGGCCGGCCGTGCCACTGCAGCACCTGGGGACACTGAATAATCTGGAGACCTCGGCTTTCCCTGAACTATGCCAATAGGCGGAAGACAGTTGACACAGAAACTGTGCACTAGAGATCCCACCTGCCACACACACAGCAGCTACAACAGTGCTGACCAAGCACAGGCTGTCACCTGGGCCAGAACAGAAACCTCATCACCAAACACCGAGTAATTTGGCTTTTTTTAATGGCAAAATGGTCTTGGAGAAGGCAGCAGGGCCTTCTTTACTCTGCTGAAACCCCGTCACAGACGGCGCTTCGGAACATGTCCCAGTTTAATAGTGCCAAGGAAGGCCTGTTGAGGGCCAGACGCGGGCATAGCCGACTGACCCTAGTCAGTGTGTGCACCAAGTGTGTGTTCGTTCCTGAAAGTTCATGACGTCACTCAGCAGAATCACCCCAATCTAACCTCACAGGCCGGGCAACCCAATAACGATGGTCCCAACCAAGAGCTGCTTGAGAGAAGTAGTTGTGCTGGGAGAACACGAGCAATCAGGATACACTTTCCCCACACACACGCTCCCCCACACGTACTCAACACGCCACAGTGAGCAGCCTACATGAAACCTGACACACTGGGAAGGCCGCAGATCGGGAAGCTACACAACTCAATCCCACGCCGAGCAGCTCTGGCTACTGCACATGCCGGTGGCCTGGACATGGCTGCGACAGGCTAAGACAGGGTCTCACTCATGACAGTGAGACCAGGAACAGCCCATCTACTTATGAAAAAGGCTGCTGCCTCAGGCCATCTGCTCCGAAGTAGATGGCCTTGACGACAATGGTGAGAAAGCAAAACACACTCAGTGGGAACCATGCTTCAAGCTTTGGGTCTTCCCTGAACTAGTGCAAGGAGCACTCTCCTCTAGTGATGCTGGGCAACAGGAGACATCCAGCCACAGACCATCATGAGTGCTCTGAGCACGTGCAGGGCGGGTGAGGCTGAATCATGACATTTGGCGGGCATTTCTGACTAAGGGTATTTCCCAGGACTCAGCCCCATCAAGAGTCGAGCAGCATCTGCACCAAGGCAGCCCAGGATGGGCCCAAAGGGTCAGTTAACTGTGGTATCAGAAGCACTGTGAACCCACTCGGGGAGACCAGGAGGGAGGCGGTGAGGCCTCTCTCCAAGGCAGAAAAGCAGCTGCCCGCACGCCTGGTTTCAGCCCCCTACCTTATGACTCCACCAGGACACAGAAGTGATGACATAACGGCCCGTGGGGTCCCACTCCACGTCGGAGGCCATGTAGTGCTCAGCAATGTTCATGACCGTGCAGTCCGACGTGTCCACAAATGCCAAGGCGCCATTCATGCTGGGGAGACAGATAGAACGTCCTAACCAAGAGCCACACCATGCAGTTCCCTGCACTCCTGCGCCCGCAGAGGCCCCGGGGAGAGGGTCCAGGGTGTCCCGAGGCTGCCTGGCTGCTAACATGGAAAGAGCAGAGACAAGGACACGGTTGATGACGTGTCCACGCGCAGGACTCGCAATATGTCTGTGGCACGTTTCACAGAACAGGCCGTCTGTCATTCTGTACTGAGCCTCCAAAACCACAGTCAGCATCTCCCACAAAGTGGGGGAACAGTAGCTGGAAGGCATCTGCATTCATGGGTGGGGTGCTGCAGGGTTCTCGTCGCCCCACAGTCTGCTGGAGGAACAGCTAAGCAGGGGTGAGGAAGACGAGTGCTTAGGCCCTCATGGTGACCCCCCCCGAGGTGCAGACAGGTTTGATTAAACCTTCCTCCTAGAGAAAACGTGGGTGCACAGTGGGACCACAATCAAAGCATGGCAAGTGCCTGTTTATTCTGCCTGGTCTAGGCGCAAGACCGGGAAGCACGGCACAGACACTGTAGCAATCTGTCCCATGGACCGGAGCTGGGATGACCCTTCCAGACAAGAACACACAAGTTCCTCAGGACTCAGTGGAGTCACCGTTCACAACCCAGTGCAGGAGGCGGGCCTGGGGTCAGGGTCAAGACCGGACAGCAGACACCCACCTCCTCAGACCAGCCAGCACCACAAACTGCCCCTGGGGGCTCCAGAAGATGGTGTTTGCCTGCTGCTTGTCGAACATCTCTGAAAAGAAAGGAAATGTGTTAGAAGTCGTACTGGCTCTAAGCCGGTATGCAGCCAGGACTGAGGAATTGGTGACGGGCACATGCCCCCTGGGTGAGTTTGCAAAATGGGCTTTAGCCATGACTCCATGCACCACACCTCTGAGATCACCAATGAAGCACACCTGAAGCTACGACCTACACTTAATAACACAAACACAAAGCCAGAGTATTCTAAAGCTGCAGTGCCATCTGGACAATGTGGTCTCTTGTCTCGTACAGTCATTAGACAATGGAATCCCACTACAGTGAACACCATCGCCGGGACTCTCAGAGATAAGGGACCCTGAAAAAAACCCTGAAATCCATTCTTCTGATGCCCACATCTCTTTAAATAATATGCTCATTGTCCTAGATGGTTTGGATCAGTGGTTAGAGCATCAGCCCACAGACTGAATGAAGGGTCCTGGGTCCAATTCCCAGGTAAGGGCACATACCTTGGTTGCAGGCTCATCCCCGGCCCAGCTGGGGCGTGTGCAGGAGGCAACCAATCGATGTCTCTCTCTCTCTCTCACACATCAATGT